CAACAAATAATTCAAATTATGAATTAATAGTGCAAAATATAACTTTCTTGAATATGTCCTGAAACTACTTTCTTGTGACATCTTGTGGTTTAAGTTACATAATATCATTTATATGGGAGATAACCACACTTATTGATAGTTATAAAAATTACATTTTACTTTTTGACGTTTTGATTTCCTTTCCGGAAATCCTTTTCAAAGATTATTTTAAAAGGTTATTTAAAAATGTGGACTTTACATATTAGTATTGTTCATGTTCTAGAGTTTCTAGAGTTTAATAGGTATTAAATGATTTATAATTAAATAACTAATAATAATATAATTAAAGCGCGGGCGCTTGAGTAGCTGCATGAATTACAGCGTAGTAAGCATATGCGCCAGGCCGCAGTTTGATTCTAAGTCTCTGAGAGTTTGTGCAGTGCATTTTTGTCCACGAGACACTACCCGAACTCTGCAGTTACAAAAACGAGAAGCGGTACGTTAACTCAAACTATTACTGTAACTTCTGTTAAGACAAATTTTTATTAATTTAGGTAGTAAATCGTTTTAAAAATTGATCCTTATTTACCAGAAATAGCTAGACTACACAAGTTGTATGATGAAGTAGAAGCTGAGGATGATTTAGAAGAGAAAGGCTTTTCTGGCGAAGAAGACGACATCTATTAAACATTACACCATGAAAGTGACACAGAAGAAGAGCTAGATTTTGAAGATACTCCAGAAATTTCGGCTAGCACTAGCATCTGTAGATGTAGTAATAGACATCTTTATTATACACAAAAAGATGGTGTACAACATGGAAGATGCTACTACTGTCGAAATCGAAAAACAAGATATTGTTGCAAAAAATGTAGAAAATGGCTTTGTCTGGAACATGTACAAGCCCATGTGTCATGATTGTGTTACACAAAATTTTGAAGTTTGAGAAATATTTGCAAAAATTTACCATTGTTATCTTTTTTGAGGTTTGCTTGTATCAGTTCCAAATAAAGAATTGTTGTTTGTTTGAATTGATAAAATATGTTTTATGTTATAAATGAAGGAAAACAATACAAATTGTATCCTTTGTTTTTTTTTTTCATTTTTTTGTAAAATGTTTAAATACATAATGTGTATCTCTTAGACAGCACCCGACCTTTGGTGTAAAACAAATTCACCCGTGGCGCGAAGGGTTAATAACTTAATAAATTAGATGATGTATGATTATGAATCCCTATGCTGCGTCGATTTTCCTTAGTATATTTCCCAATCATTTTCTACAGTGTCTCACTGTCCCAGTTTTTGTTCTAAATCCATTTCAGTATTTTATAACATTAATATCATCAGCATAATATTAACCTAGCAACGCCCTTAATTATTTTTTGTGTATATTTTCGAATTCAGGGGAAACTGTCTTTTAAAACAAATAAACGGACTACGCCAGGTAGATCCTCTCTAGTGTATCCTATGCTCAATCTCGCTCTGGCAAAAGTATAACGATGGATAGTATGTCACAAATCACAAATATTGGTTCAATATATCATGATATCAATATTGTTGGGAGAACGGAAACCTCTGTACAAGAGGCGTATGTAGCATTCAAAAAATCAGCTACAGAAATGGTTTTAACACCAACAAAACGACGTATATGAAAATAAGCATTCACAAGTCCTACGCCCACTCGTTATAGAAAATGACGTCATCGAAGTATTGAACGAATTTGTATACCTGGGAGCGCTACTTAACACTGAAAATAATACTACCACACAGGGATAAACCACAGAATTCTCACATCCAACAGAAGCTATTTTGGGCTCAATCTCCTCCTTAAATCCACAATTATATCGAGAAATAAAAAATAAAACTCCACAAAAAATAATACGCCCAGTCCTAACATATGATTCAGAGTCCTGGACTCTAACAAAAAGTAGTGAAACATGGATGTTTCGAAAAAAAAAGTACTGAGGTTAATCTATGGTGCCATGAATCACAATGGAGTCTGGAAAAGACGATACAACTTCAAACTTTATAGAATATACCACGAATCAGATATCTTAAAATATATTAAGATAGAACGCCTAAGGTGGATAGAGTATGTAATGCGGATGGAACGAAATGACCCACTCCTTGATAGACCTATTGGTCAGAGTAGAAAAGGAAGACCCAAAACAAGGTTTTTTGATAACATTGATGAAGACATGACAAATATGGGAATACCTGATTGGCGGAGGTAGGCGAGGAGGGACGACTGGAGAGAAATTCTTGAGGAGGCTAGGACCCACGCAGGGTTGTAAAGCCAGAATGATGATGATATTTGCGTATTTTTCAAAAACTACTAAAAATTGTTTAATAAACACTAGAAAAATTAAAAAAAATTGACAATGCTAAATATTGAATTTACCCCGTATCCATACGAACCCTGTAGGGATTAGAAGAATAAATCTAATAAATTACAGAACAAATACGACAAAAAAGTTAATGTATTTTATTGAAGAAAAAACTTATAAATATAAATACAAGTATAAAAAAGTTTAAAAAAGTACAAAAACTAAATTCATTTATTAGTGTGATAGGTTACAAGACATGGCAACACATAATCCAACGTCACATTTGATGCATATTGTTCTCACTTTACTGTTATAGTGCTACCATATTTCTAAGAGACTTAATTAATATTCAGCTCAGCGGGGTGCTGTTGTTCGAGGTGTAAATTTATATAACAACGGATCATTTCATAAAACAGGTTTATGGAATTTCACACCACGAGCAAAAGCACCCCTCTGAACTGAATATTAATGAGTCTCTTAGAAATATGGTAGTGCTATACAGCTTTCTAACCAACATCTTCGTATTTTAGTAGAATCTACCAAATGTCGAATATTATTATATCGTATGTCAGGTACTGCTTTTCTCGAGTTCGCTAAAGGGGTTAGATTTGGTTCTTGTCATAAAGTAATAGTTTGGTATTTTGTCAAATATCCTTGTACTAAAGTATGTATTCCTAAATGTTTAAAAAGCCGAGATATTTTTGACTCTTAATGGCGGTACGTTAACCAATCATTAATGACACACAAATCAATAAAATATCTAACGGGACACCACTTTTTTCCTCATAGGTTTATCCTATACTCAGTTAAATTTCGGTCCGTTAAGCTTTAACTTTTAAGCTATTGACAAAATTGCGAACAAACCATTTGCTTCTATATAAATATATAATGGGATATAATCTGTATTGCTATACTTCTAAGGATATCATTTCTGTTAATTCTTTCCTTATTTTCTGCAAGTAATATAAATTAAGTTGAATGTATCTTAGGTTCCGTCTGGTTCCGAGGCTTCGAGTACAATAAACCAGCATATCTATGTTTTATAGACCTGACAAAGGCTTTCGATCGCATTTAAGTCGAAGACGTCTTACACCTACTGTATAAAAGAAACATACCAATCAATATTATACAAACCAACGAAAATATCTACCTCCAAAATCGAATACAGGCAAAGATCAATGGAAAACTAACACAGTGTATACCAGTACAAAGTGGAGTCAGACAGGGTGCCTCGTTGAGCCCACTTCTCTTTAATATAATAATGGACGAAATAATACAAGCAGTACGTAAAGGTCATGTCTACAGAATGGGGAACAACGAAATCCAAATATTATGTTATGCAGACGATGCCGCATTAATCGCCGAGACAGAAGACGAGCTCCAAAGATTAACACATATCTTCAATACAACAGCTAAGAAATACAATATGATAATATTAGCAGACAAAACCAAATGTATGACAACATCTAAATACCCACTACGGTGTAAAATCGAAATTGATGGGAAAATAATAAAGCAGGAAGCAAGGCTTAGATATTTGGGCATAAATATAACTAGTTTCGGAGATGTTGAAGAATAAGTACGACAATAAAGCTTAAAAGCAAGTAAAGCGGCGGGTTTTTTTAATGACACAATCTGGAAGAACAAACACCTAAGACAACACAAAAACCAGAATCTATAAAGCAGCAATTAGACCTATATTAACATACACGGTAGAGACAAGACCTGACACATCTAAAACGAGACGACTGCTAGAAACAACAGAGATGAAACTTTTCCGAAGAATATCAGAGAAAAGTCTATTGGATAGGGAGAGAAGCGAAAACATAAGAAGAGCATGCAATATAGATGACATAAATGGATGGGCAACAAAACGAAAACAGGAGTGGCAGGGGATAGAATAGCACGAGATAAGTCACCAAATGGACGAAGAAGAATTGAAGAAGTATTGGCAGACCAAGGAAAGAAGAAGAAGAAGAAGTTGAATGTATGATTAAATTTGGTTAAATTTAAAAGTTATATGATCTGCTTCCGATACCATCAATGTAGAGTTACTCTCACTACACAAGTAATTGTTATACTAATATATAAGCCAAATTTAATAGATCTTATTCTAGGAGTACAGTTAGTAGAATCACATCAATAACTACATCATGTTACCCAGTTTAATGCTTCATTTAAGTAAAAGAGAGAACAAAATAATGGTTCAAAAAGACGTTGAAAATATGAAGCGCCATTCATTTTTACATATTCACCACGAGAATCCCGATAATTAAATAAGTAGAAGTAAAGAATATGTAATGTTATTATACTTTTTACATACAAAATTCTAATTGTTAATTAAATGGGAATAAGCCACAATTAAAGGTTAAAATACGTTTATTGACGTTTCAGTTTCCATTTCGGAAATCGTTGTCAAAATACAAACATTGTTTGACATTGAAACATTGTTTGTATTTTGAGAACAATTTCCGAAGTGAAAATTGAAACGTCAATAAACGTATTTTAACCTTTAATTGTGGCTTATTCCCATTTAAATAGCTATTACTTTAAAATGCCACAAGAAAATAGCTTCAGAACAATACAACAAAATTCTAGTTTACTAGTCATTAAAAACTTTTAATTTGTGTTTTAGGAACTACATCAACATCGTCTACGTTAGATTTGGAACTAACTTCAAACAATACCCAAAAGATGAAAGCAGCCCTGATGGAAAACGGGAAGAAACTCATCGGCTGTGATAATTACATTAGTACTGTCTTAAGCAAAAGTAAAGACATCGATTCTAGTCCTCCGAATACTCATCTGCCTATAGAAAAGAGAGATAGTCAGAGCTCGGTTAGTACGCAAAGTAGTGGATCGACATCTGGATCTAACACTTCGAACGGCCCAGTTTGTCTTATCGGATCCTTGGACGTAGTAGACGGAGAGTTAGCCAGTAAACCGCACAAACCTTTGGCGAGAGTAATCCAGGATATCGACGGATGTCACGAAGAAGTTCATCATACGCCACTTCATAGACCAAGAGCGGACAATAAAGATTTAATCAGACCACAAACGAAAGCTCTACAGAGGGTATGTACATAATTAGTTTCAAATCGTAAATTTAACTATAAACATTTTCTATTTTTCAATTTCTTAAGCAGTATTTCAAAAATACCTATTAGTACCTAACCTACTTAGCACCACTAGAAGTAACTACTCTTCGTTCGTTTTTAAAGCTTTTTTACAGAGATATCTTATTTGACTCTGGTACCCACTGCTCTTGTATTACGGCTAAATCGAACGTTCTTAAGTAACAAGAGTAAGTTCTGAGGAAGCTGCCTTACTATATTGAAGGTCAGTCTCTATTTAGTGCTCTTATTGTTGGTCATTAAGACCTATTTGTGTAATCAATAGTTGCTCTTTTTCTGACTCTTCCTCTGAGCGTTATCTTTTTGTCTCTGTGTCCATTTTGTTCCCCCGCATTTGGACAAAACGCTGTCAACCGCAGCAGTGCGTCCATACCGTCCCAAGAATGTAATCTCCAACTATCTGGGGCATTGCTTAGGTGACACTTTTCCTCCTGTGCCAAGTATCCAATGGGCACATTAGCTTTGCACCTCGGAATTGGGAATGCAGTAGTCCAAAAAAAACTCACCGAGAGTATTTGTATTTTGTATTTGTATGTGTTTAGTTGATCCTCGTATGTTTATTTTGTTATACCTTATTCAAACTTGTACTATGTGTCCATAAGACGTTTCCCATTAGCGTTTGGTATAACGTGTCCTGCATGGAGTCCTACTCAGTATAGTCTCAGACTGGGATAGATGTTATGAGGTAGTTATTAGATCTCATTTCCTCATTGAATTTTCTTAATTATTATTCTCCAGTCCCTAGAGATATTCCAAAAGAATGTATACTGCTGAATGGTAGATTGTGCCAAATACTTGGGTGATGTTATTCAAACGGCAAAAGGTTGTGTTTTACAGCAAAACACGATGGAACTCAGGTTGAATGAGATGAATTAAGCAGACGGTACCAGGTAGCAGGTAACCCCAACAAACAAGTGTCGCATCAACACAAGGTAAAATATAATTGACCACCGCTCTATAATAATAATAATACATATATAATTTAGATTAGCGGGACACTTACAGGAGAGATAGATAAGTAAACAAATCGTCCCCTTGTTGAAAACGGTCTTCTCTCTCGGTGAGTGATATAAAGAAGTTAAACACACAGACCGTTTCGAATCAATACAGAGAGCATGCAAATTTGGAGTCTTTTAAAAAAGACAGATTATGTCCTTAAAAGGAACAATATAGTGCAAAGTTTCCGCAATTAAGAGACCCTCCTCACGCCCTCCTATCGTTTTAGAAGCAAAAAAGGGTTTGAAATAATTATAAGTTACATTGACCATGCTTCTATTGTTATAATTTATAACCGTGTACGAGGATATATTGATATTAAACTAGCCTTTGATAGATGATAGATGGCGCTACTTGATACCGAATTGGTGTTGGTGTTGACATTTGCCATTCATGACATGACGTCTGTCAAAATTTTAAGTTTTAAAAATAATAGTTTGGTTTTTACAGCCGTCAAAAGGAAGCAAATTTTGTTTGTTCGGAGAAATGGAAAAAGTTAAGTATGGTTCGGTGATTAAGTTCCTCCACAAAAAGGGTACAACAAATGTGCAAATCAAAGCCCCTTCGTTAGCAACAGTAAAATTTTGGAAAGCTGAATTTGTTCGTGGTCGTACGAGTGTTTTTGATTATGAGCGTCCCGGTAGGCCAAATCAGCACGCCGGAAATGATCAACAAAGTCCATCACATGATTATGGCAGATCATCGAATTAAGCTTCGCGAGTTACTAGAGGTCCTAAACATTTCCTAAGAACGCGTACACAACATCATTCACCATCATTTGGACATGAAAAAGCTATCCGCGCGATGGGTGCCGCGTTTGCTGAAAATCGATCAAATGCAAAAACGTGTGATCACTTCGGAGAAGCTTTTGGCGATGATACGGCGCGATCCGAAGGATTTTTTTCGCCGATTTATCACCGTTGATGAAACCTGGGTGCATTATTACACACCGGAAACAGTCGAAACAGTGGCGCAAACGCGGCGAAGGGCCGCCGAAGAGGGCAAAGAGTGCACATTTAGCCGGCAAAGTGATGGCGACTGTTTTCTGGGATGCGAAGGGTATCATCCACATCGACTACTTGGAAAAAGGAAAAACAATCAATAGTGAGTACTACGCAGCATTATTGGATCGATTCGATGCCGAATTTCGGCGAAAACGCCCCGGTTTGGAACACAAAAAAGTGCTCTTTCACCAAGACAATGCACCGGCTCACCGATCGGCCGTCGCCATGGCAAAATTACACGAATTGGGCTATAAATTGGTTGAACATCCACCGTATTTCCCAGATCTAGCCGCCAGCGATTTTTTCCTGTTTTCAAACCTAAAAAATGGCTCGGAAGACGCCGTTTCGCAACAAATGATGAAGTTGTCGCTGAAACTTAGGCCTATTTTGAAGAGCTCCAGCAAAAGTACTATTCGGATGGGATAAAAAATATTGGAACATCGCATCGTCTTACTAGGTGTATCGAACTAAATAGGGGACTATGTTGAGAAATAAATCGATTTAATTCCAAAAAACTTGTTTTTTCTATCAAAGGCTAGTTTTTTATCAATCCACCCTCGTATATCCTTATTGGTTCATATGTTCTAATTCTTCCCGAAAAGTACATTGCAGTTCATGAATTGTTTTCTGTATGAGCTAACGATATGTTTTCTTGTCCATTCATATACATGACCACCGTCAATTAGAGATAATAAATCAAATGTGAACCCATTTAGAAAGAGAACCTTTTATCCTTTGTGGATTGTCCAGTCAATATGGTATGTGGCAATTCTTGTTAATTTCTACGATATTATTGATGTGTTTTATAGTTGTATATAGTAGTTTTTCTACTTGATAACTTGTTCTTTTGTATTTTTCGAAAAATTAATATCATGTACTTTTAATGTTCATTATCATAATATTGAATGTTTGTTTCATAACGGAGTGTTAGATCGAAAAGTAGTAAACTTCATATTTCCTTCCTTTGGCATAACCATCTTATGATTATGTAACGTGGACCCTTTCAACCACTGATGAAAATCAATTGAGAATATTTGAGTGCAAAATATTAAGAAATATATTTGGACCAACCCATTGTAGCGATGTTTCGTGGAGAATTAAAATGAACTTTGAGCTGGATGAATACAGAGCGCAGATATCATTAGATTTATAAAGTCGCAAAGGCTAAACTAGCTTGGTGTTCAATCACAAATTAATCCCTTAATTTGTAATCTCACATTATTCTTTCACCGTGAATGTGACATTGTAAAACCATATCGTATAATATTTTAATAATTAGTTCATTTATCTACAACTAAATAAATTGCCGAATAATATATTTTCTAATTGAACTTCCTGTCGCAATTAAGGCGTAGATTAAATTGTATTGTAAGCAAACTTTGTTGGTATGGTATGATAGGAAGCAATGACCTATGTGCTTAGGTATGAATTATTTGTGAGACTATAAATTGGGAATTTGAGCTCATATGAACACAGTCAATTATAAGTAGTTACCTAACGGACATCATATTGTGTAGTTACCAGTAGCTGTCAATAAATCAACACTTTTACTCCACAACTTCAACCTTTTATTATACCTATCATCGTGGATCGAGATGAAGCGGACAAAGGGGCATTTACAAACCGATTCGAACCTCAAAACTACGTTCGAACCTTTCCACTTAGCCACTTGGAAAGAATACGGTATAATCGAGATGTAAAAGTAATGAAAACATGGAAACCCCAAGGAAATAGGACAAGAGGAAGGCCCCATAAAAGGTACATAGACGATGTAGAGGAAGATCTTAAAATCATGAACATCAGGTAATCCCGAGGGAAAGTATCCGATATGGCAGAATGGAAAAACGTTGTTAAGCAGGTCTAGACCTACAATGGGTTGTAGAGCCATTAGGCACATCATTATCCCAATATACCAATATAATATAATTAAACAAAATGTTTGTAAAACAACATACAATTTTCCGAACTTATAAAATTGTACGTTTTATTCAACTGAAACCTTTACATTATACACTGAGCGTCACGAAAAATAGGCCACCTAAAATATTTGCCATTTTTTAAATTTTTACGAATCGTACCACAAAGTGATTGTCATTAGATATTTGTGTAATCTTTAAGAATATGTTCTGAAGCAGTAGGCAAGCATTTTTAACAATTACAAATGTCAAAAAACAACTTCTTCCAAAATAATGATTTTATTGAAAAATAAAAAAAAATTAACATTGTACATTTTTTCTGTTTTCTTTATAAAATTACAATTAAGTCGTGATTATTAATACTATTGTGAATTACACTCCTTATTCGATTTGGCATTGAATTAATCAAATTCTGGATGTCGTTTTGGGCAAAAGCTTCCCATTCTTCCATGAGCGCCAACCGAAGCTGCTCACGATTTATTGGAGCAGGTATTCTGTATCTTACTCTTCGTTTGAGTTGGTCCCACACATGTTCAATGGGGGTCAAATCTGGACTTTGAGCCATTGAGTTCATTTTTGGCACACCGACAGTTTCCAGATATTGCGTTACCATCCTGGTTACGTGTGGCCGCGCGTTGTCTTGCATAAAAATAAAGTTTTCGCTGACAAACCCAGCAAAAGGCATTACATTCTCGTCTAGAATTTCGGTAATGTATCGGTGTGCACTCAACGCTCCTCTATCATAAATACGAGATCAGTACACCCCTCGAATGAAATGTCTGACCAAAACATTACCGAACCTCCTCCAAAAGCAACACGTACTCGTCGAACACAAGCAGCATATCGTTCCCCACGTCTTCTGTATGTTTTGATGCGACCATCTGAGTCATGAAGAACCATCCTGGACTCATCACTAAACAAAACATTTTTCCAATCATCTATCGTCCAATGCTCGAGGTCTCTAGCAAACTGTAGTCGGCGTTGTCGATGTGCTGCTGTTAACAAAGGTCCTGTTGCTGGACAGCGAGCCCTTAAAACAAATTCCCTCAACCTTCTCACGGTAGAAGTGCTTTAAGTCCACCCGTGAGCATTTTGAAAACGGTTTTGAATCGATCTAGCCGTAAAGAACCGATTTTGCAAAGATGTGCGTTGTAAAGAATGGTTGTGGTTCTTCTCAGGCCTGATCCTAGTCGTCGTTCGTGAGATCCAGTCTCTACGAATCGTTGGTAAATTTTTTGGACCATACAACGACTGACTCCAAGCTGTCTGGCCACTTCTCTTTGACACATTCCATTACCAATCAAAGTAACAATTTGAACAGATCTAGCAAATTTCTCAGGAATAGTTTTTAATTTAAAAATTGCTCAAGTTTACTCTTCGAACAACTGTACACTAGTGAAAGGTTTTTGAAAAACAGAATAGCCATATTTCAAGAAAAATAAGGTATATACAAACAACACGTGCATTATCAGAAGTCGTAAAACTGATATCAATTCTACAAACTTGACCTTTCTCTAATTGACCTTTCGGCACCGTTTGTCGGTGCCTAAAAGACGCTAAAAGTGTTTCTGCATTGTGGGAATTTAGTTACAATACAATAAATTGTATAAGCTTATAGTTATTGAAAAAATTTTACAAAATCCTAGGTGGCCTCTTTTTCGTGACGCGCAGTGTATTAGACTTTCGCTGTCAAGTAGATCAATCAATGTATTAATATTTTACAGATCGCACATACAGCACCTTGTCATGACCCTCTAGTATGCCCTCCTACACCAACGCATCACTCAAGAAAGCTAAGAGCTCCAGAACTTAGGCCACCTAATCTCAAGTCTGCAGAACCACTTGATGTGCGGCTGAACGGCGATGGACCGGATGTAGCAGGCAGTAGAGATACTCGGGCTGAGGATGATCCCGATCTTGAAAGTTTGATGATGAGGCTGAAACCTATCATGGGAGTAGAACGTGATGGAGCAAGGTAAGAATTGCTTTACTTAGATATATATCTGTTTTAAAATGGTTTTTTCATTTTTTATTTAATCATGTTGTCATTGAAAACATACTAACACAAGAATATTAAGATTTGAGAAAAAATTAAAGACTAGAGCGCCTTTTACGACCGAGTGCCGAGATGCCAAGTGACTTTTAGTTTGAATCGTACCTCTACCTGTTAATTATATTATTTTCGTTCAATTCGTAAAGATATACAATATTGTAGTGGCCTCATATTTTCGTGATATCAACGTTGATTGCAAGAAAAGATATCAATCTTTCTTATTGCCAGCTTGATACTTCATTTGTGGTAATAGACACTGTACACAGCAATAATCAGTCAGGAAACCAAGAAGATAAATCGGGGATTGCTTATTAGTAGGACACATTGCAACAGTTTTTAACATGAATTTTTTTAAATTAATTCTATCTTAGTGTGGTAACTCATGTATAGAATTTTCTTTTGGGATTATGAGAATTCTAGATTTTCTAAATCACTTCTTCTTTCCTTTCTTCTTTCTGGCCCTGCTCGATTATCCTGTGTTGGTTATCAAATTGGCTATACTAATTTTTTTGACGTCAGCTCGAAAAAGAGATGTAGAGGATATGTTAAACCAGGTTTCCCAGTCATGACGTTCTTATTCGACCTGTCCCTCTTCTTCCGTCTATATTGCCTGTATTAATAAATGAACTATAGTGTACCTTTCTTAATTTCTAATTATTTCTTGATAACCTGTTTTTAAATCTGGAGTAGTCTATTTTTCTCTTAAAATCTATTTGCAATTCCAAATGAGCGTTGATCTGCAACAATGTTTAATATTGTTAGAAATCTATTTTCTGGTGGCATTTTAATGCTATTTAGTATTTGTTTTTGATCTTTTGTTACAATAAGAATTTTTATTTTATATGGTATACTTCTTTACTAACAACTATAGTTATAAACAAAACGTTAACATTAAATATTGATTAATTTTAGACCAAGATCGGAAACTAATGGTGAAGCTAGTGGAGGAATGCCGTTGCCTCTCCAGAGACTTAGCACAACAAGATTACCTTCGATACCAGAAAGAAGTCACAGAGCATTAATTTTAACAAAAGTTGAAGGAGAAGATGATCCTTTACCACCATGTAAGTATAGTATTAAGCTTATTTTTGTATTTTATTTTTCGGTTGTAGCATTCGTACTTTATCACCGTTCTTTTTGCTTTTGGATTTTACCATAAGTTGTATTTGTATTTAAAATTTCTATTTCTTTATTCATCCTTCTCAGAACCTCTTTGTTTATGGCATGTTCTGTCCACGATATATTCAGAATTCTTCTTACACCCACAGCTCGAATGATTCCAGTTTTGTCATTGCTGTCGCCTTCAAGTTCCAAGATTATATACCATAAAAAAGTCGAAAAAACATAGCACCTCGCCAACCTAACTCTTAGTTCCAATTTTAAATCCCTTGTACATAGCACCCTTCTCAATTTGTTGAAATTTGCTCTAGCCTTTTCTATTCTGATTTTGATCTCCTGAATGTAATCATTTGTGGAGTTATCATTGTTCCCAGATATGCATATTTCACTTGTTCGACGTAGGTTCTGGTTATTAGAAGATTCTCGTTATTTCTTTATTCTCATAAATTTCGTCTTCTTGACGTTCATTGTTAGACCGTACTCTTCTCCATACCCAGCTATTCTGGTCACCAGTCTCTGAAGATCTTCAATATTTTTGGCTAAGATCAGTGTCATCCGCATATCTAATGTTGTTAATCGGAACTCCATTTACCTTTATTCCAACTGTTTCACCCTCAAGAGCTTTTTTCAGGATCTCTTCGAAGTAGGCATTAAAAAGAATTGGTGACAATATACATCCCTGTCTCACGTCTAATTTCAATTTATTCTGACAGCTGTTCGTTAACACGTACTTTTGCTCGCTGTTTATAGTATAAATGTAGTATGATCCTGAGGTCGTTGTAGTCAAACTTCTTTGAATTCAGGATATTCATTAATTATCCATGTCCTTCTTTATCGAATGCTTTATTATAGTATTGAAGCATTGACAGACTCCTCTCAGACACTTGCAAATCATCATCAATTTTTCGTATCGGGTGATTAACGTCTCGACATTAAACATTCCGGAACCATCCTAAACTATGCTCCCTCATTTTGACATGTTGCCACCCCTATACTTCCCTAGTATACTTACTGATTCTTAATCTTTTTTTGCCACTCCATTTATCCATCTAAGTATTCTCATTTCCATCACGTGCAGTCGTTGTTCCTCTTTCTTGTTAACTACCCAACATTCAGTTTCGTACATCATAGCTGGTCTTTGACCATGTAATGAGTTTTACAGAATTTTTCCTTCCCTTAATAGCAATCTTTCTGTCACACAATACATCACTTGCTTCTTCCACTTCATTTAACCCTAATTCTATTGCATGTATTTTTACATATTTCCCCAGTACTCTGTAATACCGATCCTAGGTACTTAAAACTTTCTAGGTACTTTTTGCAATCATTTCAGCATCCAAAGGTATCCTTTTATTTATGGTAAATGCATTTTTAAATGAACATACTAAATACTATTTTTTGTCCTACTAAGTTTGAAACCTTTTTCGTCAAGAACTTGTCTTCTCTGTTCCAATATTTGCTCTACATCCTTTTCAGTATTTCCTACCAACACTGCATCGTCATCATATATTAAGCATCAGGGAATGTTACACTGTAGTTTCGCTGTTATCTGATCCAATATTAATGAGAATAAATAAGGACTTAAGTACTGAGCCTTGGTGCAACCCGATTTTCACATGAAATTAGTCACGTTTGTCCCATCACTTTTTACTTCCTCATACATATTTCTGAAAATCTTCACATATTCACCGGGGACTTTTTTCTTATTGAGTGCCCATCACGGGATCTCGCGAAGAATTTTATCATATGCTTTCTTAATATAAATAACTACGTATAATTTTCTGTCAGTTGCCTTGTAATGAAAATTGCAAAATTGTAGTTGTTGTTGTAAATCTACCCAGATTAAACAAATATTGTTTAATCTGGGTAGTTTTCTGGCCGTGTAGTTGGTGCATTGTTATTATATCTCCCTTGTTTTTATAATATAGTGCCTTTTCATTGGCTGCATTTCATTTCACTGTTAGCCAACTTGTTTCATCCTCTACTAAAGTCAAATTTTTCATTTAATAAACTGTCCAAATACTTTTTTCATCACTTTTTGACATCGTCATTGTGAACTAGTATTTTATTATTTTCTTCTCGGATACATCTTACCTGATTAAAGTATTCTGTGTTCTTTGCACTATGTTTGCCTATTTTATATTTATCTTTATCTTACCTTCCCTGGTATCAAGTTGATCTTATAGATTTGTATACGCTTCCGCTTTAGAATTTGCTACTGTTACTTTCGCTTCCTTTTTGTCGGTCGTATAATTTGGAAGATCTTTATTCGACTTATTTTCTTCCCACGGTTTATATAATTTTCTTTTCTCCTTATTTTTTCTTGAACTTCGTTTGATCATTACATTATCAAACTTCTTTCCTGAGTTTTTTACAAGTATTTTAATAGCAGTATATCTAATAATACTAGCCATATTCCTCAAAATTGTATTAGGACTTTCTTTGGTGTTCCAGTACATTTTTCCTGCATCAAAATATTTTCGAACATTTGATGCGTAAATGCCTTTTCGATCAGCATCATGTCCGGCATGATTTATCCAATACAGCACCAATGCCAAAGTACAGTATTATCTCACAACTGCTTACATTTTCGTACAGACGAGTATCCCTACTGTATAAGGCTGCCCTTTTTAAGCCAGTGTATTGTTACCCGCATGCCACCACCAGAATGCACGTACTTTATATGGGATATACTTAATATATCTATGAAAATAAATGTATTAGATATTCTGAATATCATGCTTCTTTTATTTTCTTAAAAATTAATATCTTTTTTGACTATTAAAAGTGTATAAGGCACTCATCTGAGACTCATCTAAGACTTCATCTGCTGAAAAGTTTTAAAACGTCAAATGTTTGCAAAATAAGATAAAGTATTATTTTTATTTTTGTTATAACGGACTGTTACCGTCCGTTTGTACATCTCCCCCCTATCCGTCCGTCTATCAGGTCCATTAATCTATTTGTCCATACGTATGTCCGTCTTATCTGTCTGTTTGTGTCTGTCTGTGCTATAACTCTTGTAAGAATAGTGCTAAAATCTTGAGACAGTTTACACATGGATCGGACTTGGTCCAAAAAACCCTATTGTATTTGGGTTAATATTATCGGTTTATTAAGGGACCTGACAGGTCTTTCTTGAAATGGTAGCGTTGTTGTCTGTCTGATTTTCCATCTGTCTATATGTGGTCCTCTTTGTCCAAGACACTTATTGAATTTCAGAACAATGGGTTAATGATTACCAAAGTTGTAGATAACTGCAGGTAAAGAACCAAGGTATTCAAACCTTGGATTTAGCTTCTTTAGGACATATAATTGACACTGCGTTTCGGATTGAGACCAAAAGATACATAATTTGTGAAAATACCTATCCCATATCGTTTAATTGGATCAGATCGACAGAGTTGTAAATTGCTAGTATTCAGCAGCTTAAAACAAATTGGTTCACCCTTAATTTGCTGTTGTCGATACCACATTGTATCAGTTTATTCTATAGCAATTTAAAAGTATCATTTCTATCCGTATGCGAACTTTCTCTAAGCTTCTTTATCCTCCTATCATTATACTAGATAAATTGCTGATTTCATAATTATTTTTGATATCTCGTTTTATTTCTTGATGACATGGCATTTAAATATATTTAAGTATTCATTCCTTTTTTATATGCTCTATACCAAACCACGAACTACCTGTCATCATATTTTCAACCACACTATTCAACACAGCGGTAGAAGAACAGTTAATGCAAGCAGAATTAAAGAAACAGATGACATCGTTCTTATGATAAGAGATAAGGAAAGATTACATTAAGAAGCAATAACAATCCTGGCCAATGAATTACGGAAAAGATGTCAAAAAATAACAAAGGAAAAACAAAATATATAATATGTTCTAGAAGGGAAGATAACAAGACGAGAGAAATCGAGATAGAAAACTACACTTTTAAAAGAGTCCAACAGTTTAAATACTTGGGAGTAATAATTGTGAATGGCAAGAATAAGAGAAGTAAAGAAGTAATGGAGCGAATACCAGTGGGGAACAAAACATACTGAAGATATCTTAGGGTAATGAAGTGCAAGAACTTATCCAGAAATTCAAAACTAAAAGTATATAGTTTTAATCAGACCAGTAGTTACATACGCAGCTGAGACAATGTGCCTCAAAGATTAAGATGAAGGAAGATTAAGGATATTTAAGAGAAAAATCCTAAGAAAAACTATGGACTGGATAGGAATGGAAAACCGAGAAATAAGAAAAACAATAAACTATGAAATATGAGAAATAATGAAGGAAGAAGATATATAATAGATGTATTAAAGCGCAGAGACTGAGATGTCTGGTACACATAGATAGAAGGAAAACAACCTACCGATTAAGAGGATCACCACAAGGAAGCCAGAAACTAAAAGATCGAGGGGAAGACCTAGAGAGAGATGGGACCAGGCCATGAGAGGCATCAAAATACTGAAAGTCAGAAAATTTAGGGACCTATGCACAGTCGAAGAAAATTGTAACTAAAACCAAGTATTACAACAAACTTTGACAATACACACGGCGAGTGCGGAGTGATTCACTGCGATAAGCGAATCAAAGAGCTCTAAGTAAGAGCGGCAAACATTACACCATGAATGGGAGGCCTCGATAATGATAAGAATCTTAAATTATAATCTGATGATGTCATGTCAATCAATTTCAATTCAATATATTTAATTCATATTATTCTTACCGTCAAAATCATCGTATTCGTTTTCAGTATGTCTCTCGTTTTAATCATAGTGCGCTGTATAAAATGGAGTGGTTTTATAGATTATATTGTTACGGTTAGTAAAAATTTTAAGCACACCAACTAATTTTTCATATAGGTTTAGTAGAACATTTTCTTTTTGATTTTTTTGTGCTTAAGCATCCACTTGTTGAATTCATTTAGTAATTTGATCGTATCAAAAGGGATTACACCCGACAATACGTTACAAATTACCAAAGATTTTTTTCTTTAGTGGTCTATCCCGGATTATTTGGCGCCTGAGTGTAACATTGAAGTTAATAGATTTTATACAGGTTGACCAAATTAAGGAAGAAAGGATATTATTCGATAGGCCTATTATAGTTTTAAGCACTTGCACTCAATTTTTCATCAAAACTTTCTTATTTATAGCTTGGGAGGCTCGAATGGACAGTCATGGTCGAGTGTTTTATATTGACCACGCAACACGCACCACTTCTTGGACTCGACCTGGAGGTAGTACGAGCTCCTTTCCACCAGCAGCAGCTGAACAACATAGAAGACAATTAGATAGAAGATATCAAAGCATAAGAAGAACGATAAGTTCAAACAGATTAGAGGTGGTGGATTTTTCGACAGCTCCTCCTGGATGCCGGCTACTAACCAGGCCGGATTTTTTCACTGTTTTGCACATGAACCAGGTGAGAATCTGTTCACTAATCGCGAATATTTTAAAAATAATTATTGAGTTTTCTTTTAGACATGAGAGTAGCATCACTTTTTTGTTTTGTACTTCCACGTGGTTGACATAAACTAAATGGTATAGCCATTATAGTTAGATCGTTCCAATTCAGTAACCATTTAAATTTTTTGTTACATTATAGTCATTTCGGTTGAGGTCAAGAAAATAAGTATTATGTAACCAATATGGTTCGGATCATAATCCAGTAGTAACACCAACTTCAGTATAGCAGAAAGTCAAATCCGCAGAACAGACAACATAGATGAAAAACTTTAGTATATAAACACTACAATAAGAACTACGGGAAAGAAACACTTAACCAGATCTGCAAAGAAACACAAGGTATGGATGACACCAGACATACTAGAACTAATGGATGAAAAACGTAAAATGAAGAATAATGCACAAAAATACAGAGAAGTTGATAAGAACATAAAGCAAAGAATAAAGAAGGAAAAAGAATTATGGATTGAAGAACAATGTGTAGAAATGGAAAACTATGAAAGAAAATGTGACATATTCAATTTACATAAAAAAGTAAAATAAATTATAGGAACTCAAAGAAGAGATCAAATAAGTTTGCTTAAGAACAAAGACGGACAGATTATTACAGATTTAACAGAGAAAATTAATAGATGAAGTGAATACATAAGAGAATTGTTTGAAGACAACAGAAATAACATTGTTCAGGTAAATGGTGAAACGAGACCTGAAATCCTAAAATGTGAAGTAGAAATGGCACTTAGAAATTCCAAAACTGGAAAGGCAAATGGACCTGATGAGGTTCCTACTGAATTGCTAAAGCTCTTGAATGATGACTCAATAGGTATAATATTGCACTTATTTAATACAATATACAAAACTGGTATTATACCTCAAGAGTGGTTGTTGTCTACATTCGTTACACTGCCAAAGAAATCAATGCAAAAGAATGTTCAAAACATCGAACAAAAAGTTCAGAAAAGGACTAGGTACTCGAGAAGCTCTCTTCGGTTTGAATGTTCTTACACAAAGATACCTAGACGTTAACCAGGAAATACATGCATGTTTTATCGATTTTGAGAAAACGTTTGACAGATTACGCCATCATAAGCTAAGAGGCATTCTTGAAATAAAGGACATAGATAATAAAGATCTGCGAATAATTCTCAATTCTATATTGGAATCAGAAAGCTAACATCAAAATAGAAAATTAGATATCACAAGCAATAGAAATACGTAGAGGAGTACGACAGGGATGCATTTTGTCACCGCTGCTATTTGATGTTTAAAGTGAAAGCATCTGCCAGGAAACCCTTTTGCACGCAAACGAGGGAATCGTAATCGATGGAGAGAGGGTATAAATAATATTCTATACGCAGACGACACTGTACTAGTTGCAAGAATAGTAGAAGAATTACAACGATTACTTACAAATATAAATATTGTCTGGAACAATTATGACATACATATCACTATCAAACAAACCAAGTATATGGTCTTCAGTAAAAACATGACACAACCAGCACATATTAGTATAAACGGCATTCAAATTGAAAAAGTATCAGGTTACAAATACTTGGGGACTTTAATAAACGAAACTGGAAACCAAAACAATGAAATAAAAAGACGTATCAAAATTGCCAGGGCCACCTTCATAAAGATGAGGAAATTCTTCTGCAACAGAGATATAAGCATCCCTCTGCGATTAAGAATGCTAAGAATGCTAAGGGGCTACGTATTTAACACGTTATTATACGGTGTAGAGGCCTGGACTCTCAAAGAAAACAACATAAAAAATATTGAAATTTCGAGATGTGGTGCTACCGTCCAATGCTGAAGATAAGTTGGGTTGAAAGAGTCACAAACTTTGAAGTAATACGAAGATAGGAAAAGACCCAGAAATTTTGTCAACGATCAAACGAAGAAAACTCAAATATTTGAGTCACCTGATGAAAGGACATAAATACGCATTACTTCAAAATATAATACAAGGAAAAATAGGAGGAAAACGGAATCCAGGCCGTAGAAGAATGTCATGGTCGTGTAATTTAAGAGAGTGGTTTGGCTGTACCACTAATGATTTACCACTCTTTAGGTCAGCTGTAAACAAAGTCAGGATAGCCTTGATGATTTCCAATCTCCGCCAGGAGTGGCACGAGAAGAAGAAAAAGAACCAATATGGAACACCAAAATAATATATATATATATATATATATATATATATATATATATATATATACTTCTAGCGGTTATATGTATATGATATATATATATATACTTCTAGCGGTTATATATATATATATATATATATATAATATATATATATATATATATATATATATATATATATATATATATATATATATATATATATATATATATATATATATACTTATGTTAAGTTAAAATTGTGGCTTATTCTCAATAAAAATAATAAATTATACTAATCCACACTTGGATGCCATTCTCCAACGCTGTGCGAAACAGTCTCGCTGTTTACTGTTTAAGCCGTCCGTTTTTTGACCACCGGTCGGTATTGAGATCTATTTGGGACCGATGTAGAGTTCAAAACCATGGTCATGGAACGTAGGCTGCCAATGCTATAATCCTCCAGAAACTTTTGTGTTCCGTTATACGTTTGTTAAACGTTCTACCAGTATGACCGATGTAAGTTTTTGGGCAGTCACCACATTTATGTTTGTATATACCACTGTGTAAGTGCTTTTTATTTTCGCTCTTGTTGTTTTTAATATATTTGCCTAAATTGTTGTTTTTTCTAAGAGCTGGTGTTATTCTTTTCTTTTTTATGTGTTTGGCAATTTTTGTTGTTATTTTGCCTGTATCTGTAATCGAGCAGAAGGTACTGGGTTCGCCGGTGGTGGGAAGACTAATTTTAGAGCTTTTTTATGCAGTTTTTGGTTTAAAATTCTTGTTATTGTTTGTTCGTTGTCCCATTGTTTACTATTATTTAATTATTAAGTTAGTCATACCATCACTGCACCAGAGAAAAAACTCCGTACCTCTGTATTAATCGCTCTTTCCTTTCAAGGTCTTCTCAGTACGCGCCGATACCGTTTTTATAGTTTTGCTTTTAACGTCCACCCTTCTACTCCATAAAACAGCATAGATAGTACGTAACATTTCGTGGCGTAACTAAGAAAATAGTCACAATATCTAATACTTCAAAGTTAGTCATACATTCTTGGCCTCTGATATCTGCCAGTAGTAAAACAACTATTTGAAGAATTTTATAAGTATTTGCGTATACTTGTACGAATCGCATTGATTGCTCTTCATCTCAATACAAAATCCTTGCAGGCCTTGCAGTTTAGCAACATTTTAAGTAAGAATTCAAACAACTAATTTGAGTAATTTTTGTATGGTTAGAAATGAAGTGATTTTTAAAACAAAATTCAAATCAACCAAATACCCCGTCAATCCACAAACCAGAATAATGACTTCTGATGATAAATTATCTCAACAACTAGACCGGAATTAACGTGAAACCCTTTTCATACAAAGTAACGTACATACATACACCGTGGGCGACATTATGTTCTCTAAGCATCCCATTTCAAAGCATATCATTTAATCCAATGTTAAATCTTACTTCGTACTTCGCTTCTTTGTACGACTATGTACGTGGATTAAGATACTTTTGTGCATTACCCCCCAACATACCATCATAAAATATTCAAAAAAATCATTCATACAAGATATTTATATCAATATACAATGTAAGCTATTAAAATTTTTCATTTGGTTCATTCTTTGATTTTATTGTTACAGGAAGCATTAGCTTTATACAACAGAAACCCTACTTTGAGACACATGATAGTAAAGATCAGACGAGATCCCAACGTTTTCGAAAAATACCAACACAACAAAGAGTTAGTCAGTCTAGTCAATTTATTCGCTGACCCTACTCTGGATTTGCCGAACGGTTGGGATACTAGAAAGGACAGAAGTGCTAAGGTAAGATAAACAAGTATTTCAAACTTATATGAATGTATAGTTCCGATTTCAAGATTAGAGATAATCATGTTAATTTTTCTCTTATGCTTTCGTTGGACCGGATAACAGCAATTCTTTATCGACCATGCTAATAAGAAAACTACTTATATGGATCCCAGGTTGCCTCTCGACCTTTCTTTACCTAGAAGAATGGTTGAAGAAGGACAAGTAAGTACTTAGAAATTGTACTGGATATAAATTATGTTAACTGTTATTTGTGATTATTAATCTTTCTATTAGTAACAACTTTTTACCCCTTAACAGGCGTTGTGGAGTCCCACGGACCGCTGTACTTAGGTTTGTGGTTAGTACCCCTCTACTACTTGTCATTTAGATTTGTTCTTCCCAGTACCTTTAAGTTAGTCTGTTGTCAACCTTAGAGTGTAGTGTAGTGATTCTGTTGCGTTTAGTTTTCGAGTTATATGGGGTGTTTGCGGTCTCCTGGACGTTACGACGGTGGATATGTTACAAACTACAAGTATATCGGATTTTCAATAAAATAATTTTGTTTATTTCTTATAGTCAAAAATGTCAAAGTATCCTGTTCTAAAACAAGTTCGATACGATGATATCATTTTAAAAAGAAAGTAATGGACATATTTGATTCGCTTGACTCTGATGTGGAATTGTCTGATTAGAAGGATGCTGATCATATACTCAGTGACCACGAAACCGAGTCCGAGGAATATGCTGACGAGGAACCAGTTGAAGTGGGTATGATTGAAACTTTTGAAGAATCATCTTCTGATACTGAAAATGTTGAAGACAGAAAAGAACCAAAATACTTTTATGGCCGAAATAGATTCAAATTGTCGGCAATTGCACCTAACAAAAATGTAAAAACACCAGCTCATAACCTCATACAAATACCAACTTCCAATTTTGTAACAACAAAAGTAGAGCCTATTGTGGCCTGGAAATCTATATATAGAACATTCCAGAGGTACTTTTCAGTGCGTCACAGTTTTTCGATTTCTTTCTAATGCATTAAGTTTGATGTGACGGAGAAAGCGGTAGTTCCGTGATTAAACAGAACTATATTGCAGCGTTAGAATAAGCTTACATACATAAGAGATTCTTTCCTAACCTACGTTTGATTCGTTGATATTTAGATACGCGCTTTCTCTAGCCAATCAAATACGCCTATTACTGACAGTTGACGTAAAACTTCGTCCATGCTGGTCATTCTTTCGAAGTGTTCGAAAAGCAAGTGACGGCTGTCGTTCAGGTCAGTATTTGATTTGTTTTGTATAATTTTATTTTGTATTTTGTTTTACATAGTATTGTGATTGTGGTTTTATTTGTATTTGTACAAGATGACAAGATACAGGGAATAAGAACAAGTTCTAATATTAAAATTGCTTAAATATTTTCAATTGGAAAAGGAAGCTGTACAAACATTATTACCAATTTCTGCTGTTCATGAAGTATGTTGAAAATTACCCTGAAAATAAAATTGTTTATTTATTTAAAGACAACTCAGGACATCTGTGAGATATATGTACAGAATCAGCCTATTGAAATAGTAAGAGAATTCAAATACCTAGATACAACTAAACATATACATTAACTAAACTATACACTTTAATGAAACAATGACAGCTCTCAAGAAAGACGAATCAGAATCAAACAGTTCAGAAGCGCATTTACAAGAATACAGAGGCTTCTCTAGAGTCTATCCGTAGATAGAGATAGAGAAGAATACTAGAGATCTCATGGGTAGATGGAATAACCAACTTTGAGGTAATGTGACGTATGCATAAGGAAAGAGAAGTACTAACAATTAAGAGAAGAAAAGTGGGATATATGGGTCATGCGATGAGAGGAGATAAATATCTAATACTCCAGGTCATTATGCAAGAAAAAATCTGGGGACAAAGATCCATAGAAAGGAGACGTAACTCATGTAATAACGACTTATTTAGAGCCGCTGTCTTAAAATTAAAAATCGCTGTGATGATTGCCAACTTTTGACGCGCAGACAGCCCCTTGAGAAGAAGAAGATACAAAAATTCAATAAATGAATCATTTTGTCGTCAATTTTAAATGTTTCCATAATTTAATAAACAATATTATTTAATTTTTATTAATATACGGGATTACCCCCTGTGGCTAAATACGATCCTGGCATCTGTCAGATTCTTCAATAATTATATGAAATAATTCTCGACACACCTAATTCATTCTATGACGTCATAATTAATGACGCACTGAAAAGTACCTCTGGGATGTACTTTATCATAGATTTTTATATAAATATGATAATTCATCAAACATTGTGTTACGTCCTCTCGTAGGAGTCACTATCCGGGTAGCTTTTGGACAGTCAGAGACAGAGTTCAAAATAAAAATAAAACTTTATTGTCTTTCTTAAATTAAATTGACAAAAATCTTATGTACATATTTACAATTTAATTTAGTCTTCTCAGTACCTGGCCTATTTATTCAAATTAAGTTTGACCTTGTCGTATGAAAATAGTGTTATCGGCAAGCGAGTGTGTTTTTGATAACAGCGGACGATAGATACAAAGAAAAGAAAGGAACTCAACACGTCCCTTAAGTGATTCGGGTTAATAGGACACTCCTCGACAGTCTCAACACGACTGCTTCGGAGTACGGGTAATGGAGAGCTCAACACGCTCTCCGGATAACGGCGGTATGGAACAACTTGTGAACTCAACACGTCCACAAGCCGGGGTAGGGAAGAAGAGAACCTTCAGTCAACACCTGACGATTCTGTCTCTATGAGGAAATAATGCGGTTTATATAGCAAAGTTTTGCCCTTTCTACTGTCGATACACTCCTACTTCATGGGTTGGTTCGCGCGCACGCTGGTTTAACGGTGATGGCTTGGACTCATCGTTACACCCCCTCTTCCTGGGAAAAAAAATTTTGGAACAAAATTTTTTTATTTTTATTCCTTGCCAGGTACTTGGTTACCCTAAAAAACAATTTACAATACATCGAAATAAAAAATGTCCGCCCTAAAAAAAATAAATATCGTCTTCTTAAAAAAAAATCGTCTTCCTCTCTCTTAAAAAAAAACGTCTTCCTTCGTGGGGCTTCAATTATTGGTTTTTATCCTCAGCACCCGGTTCGGGAGTCTCAGTCTGTATTTTTTTCCTTTTTATGGAGGACTCTAAATGCTGACTGGGTTGCCTCCTTCTTGTCCAGTCCTGTTGGAGTTTTCCGGTCGGCTTCTACATTGGCAGTTATTGGAAGTTGTTCCTCGGGTTCCGCAGTGGCTGCAGAAGAGTACAGCGATAGCTCTGCAGTTTCTTCTATTGTGGCCTCTGCGGCCGCATTTCCAACAACAAGTCTGTCTGTCGAAATTCTGTATTTTGTTATTACGACTATTTGCCTGTGTCCAGTCACACCTTGTATTGTTTCTGTTATATATTTCTTTTTGGACCATATCATATTCTTCCGCTAGTCTGATGATGTCCTGTGTTGACGATACGTCTTGCCTCTTTATATACAACTTGTATTTCGGGTTCATATTGGTGTATATCCTGTTTAGTTCGTCTTGGTGATTGAATTCACCATGTCTTCTGATCATTGTTTGAATATCAATGATGTAGTCTTTTACACCTTCGTTGTTTCGTTGGAGTCGGTTCCGGATTTGAGCTTCCAGAGATTGCGTGAGAACGGAGGAAACGAAGAAATTGCGGAAATCTTGTTCGAAGTCTTTTAATTCGTTCCAATATTTATTATTGTTTCTGTACCATAGTAATGCTTTCCCGTTTAATGTTACTGGTAGAGCTTGTAAAACGTGGGTGTCTTGTAGGCCGTAAGCTGTCTGGAGTTCTTTCAACCGTTCTATGAATTCTATTGGGTCTCTTGAACCGTCAAAGTGTAACCCCCATTTGCGTACTATTTCCATCTTTCTTTGTCTGTCTTCCATCTGGTTTTCTTCTATTTCCTCTGGGTTTTGGCCTTTTTGAGTTGGTGCCTTGATGATCGCAACTAATCTCGCTCTTAGCTCGTTGAAATTCCCTTCCGTCGACTGTTCTCTGTTTGTTAATTCGGCTATAAGTTCGTCTTTCTTTAATAGGTACACCCAACTAACCTTCGACGTTTCCGGAGCGTCTGTCATTTTTGAACTGTGAATCACCCTGTATTTGAACAAAATTTGAAATGTAGTACTGTCTCATGAAAATAAAATTCGGAATTCGGTCGGTATTATTGTTTAAAACGAATTTTTCTGCTCGGGCGCCATTTGTGACGTCCTCTCGTAGGAGTCACTATCCGGGTAGCTTTTGGACAGTCAGAGACAGAGTTCAAAATAAAAATAAAACTTTATTGTCTTTCTTAAATTAAATTGACAAAAATCTTATGTACATATTTACAATTTAATTTAGTCTTCTCAGTACCTGGCCTATTTATTCAAATTAAGTTTGACCTTGTCGTATGAAAATAGTGTTATCGGCAAGCGAGTGTGTTTTTGATAACAGCGGACGATAGATACAAAGAAAAGAAAGGAACTCAACACGTCCCTTAAGTGATTCGGGTTAATAGGACACTCCTCGACAGTCTCAACACGACTGCTTCGGAGTACGGGTAATGGAGAGCTCAACACGCTCTCCGGATAACGGCGGTATGGAACAACTTGTGAACTCAACACGTCCACAAGCCGGGGTAGGGAAGAAGAGAACCTTCAGTCAACACCTGACGATTCTGCCTCTATGAGGAAATAATGCGGTTTATATAGCAAAGTTTTGCCCTTTCTACTGTCGATACACTCCTACTTCATGGGTTGGTTCGCGCGCACGCTGGTTTAACGGTGATGGCTTGGACTCATCGTTACAATTGGACATATTTTATAGCATGTGTCATAATTAGCACTCCTTTTTTCTGTTTCTATAATATTATCGTATACAGGGTGGTGAATCGTCAAACGGGCCATAGGAAATTCAATGGAAAAATAGGAATTCAACAATTTAGAATTTCCTATTGAATTT